AGGTATGTTAATTTGTTATAGTACTAGTGAATTTTCAAGATCAATAAGGTACATACTGACTCTGTTAGCCTGCTTCTGACAGGAACAGGTTGAAAATAGCTCTTTTCTGTCAAAAATGAATGTAAAAAAGAGGGATTGGTGGTAGTATAGGTTCAGCATCAAAACCACCAGTTGCATAAGGAATTAACCTCATTACTTTACTCAGAATCTTACAAGCATCCTTTCAACAAAAATCATTAGTTAGTTTTTATTTGTATCTTTATTGTAAAATTATGATCATTTTTCTGCAATAGGTCATTCTCGGATGAAAATTTGCCAAAACAACTGTCCGGTGAGACCTAATAGTACGACGTTACAAGGCATTTGTATTCACCCAATCGGAGCAACAGGTGCAGGGATACAGAACGGGATGTACTGAATCTGCCCATTTGTTTGTATACAGACTAAAAAATGTTCTTTCATGACATAACATCATTCATATCCGCGATGAGTAACTTCCGTGGGTAAATTTGCTTACCACTTGTTTCGTGTATGTACACATTTTTTTCCTTTGGTACAATACAAGTTTAGTATCAAACAATAAAATATAGATAAACAAAATGACGAGCAAAGCGGTCATTCGTCTCCTAAATCGAGAATGATACCTCTTGCACAATTTGGCCTGTTAATTTGCATTTATTTATTTTTTTAAATTTAACCAATTTCCCCACAATTACTGAACTATTATGATATTACAATGTTAGGTTTGAAACATCTATGTTTTTTATCTGATATAATTTTTTTAAAGAATTTATCTCGATATTGTTTCTTAAGTGTTTGAATATCATTTTATCGGAAGCACGTGAAAGACCACAAATTTCCCATAATTTGAAACGTTCTTATTTAGTTGCTCAAACATAAATTGATTCGATGAGTTGTCTATCAACAGACCACCTCACAGCTTAAGTACTTGATATTCTTCATGAATTTAGTTAAGCCTAAGTACGAAACCGCAACAGAATTATACATAATGGATTTTCGTTGATCAGACATTCCAAATTAAAGTATTACACACAGCTTATCTAATCATTTGGGAAACTAATCGACGTTTCAAAAATTTAATTTGAATAGTACACAGATGGAACAGTTTCGTTTTCTCAATCGATGATAAATGCTCCTTTTATTTTACCTAACCGCAAAACAGTGTATATGAAATGACCTTGAAAAACAGTTCATGCTTCAGCAGTTTCGCCTTTTCATGACTTCACTATGTCATTAAACATGTACAAGAAGATAAAATTTGTAATAGTAAAGACAATAGCAAATAATTCATCTAAAAGTAACTTATAACGTCACAGCATGATATCAACTTATATTTATTGTGTGTGTGTGTGTGTGCGTGTGCGTGTGTGTGTGCGTGTGTGAGAGAGAGAGAGAGAGAGAGAGAGAGAGAGAGAGAGAGAGAGAGAGAGAGCTGCAGTCATATTACCTTACACTGTAGTGAAGCAGAATTAATCGAGTGGTCGAGTGACGACTTTAGTTTGCGTGATCTAACTGCTTAATACACAAGACAAGACGTCTGACGCGTAAGGCATGACTTGAAGTTCTATTGTTTTAATGACTTTCTGATTCTATTCTACACGACACATAATGATCTATTCATATACAAAGATTAGAAAGGTTTGTATCAAATGAGGATGTACAATAAAACAGTTGCAGTCATTTTGTTAGCCGTTCTTCCTTTTCTTTTAACTCGGTGTATTCTTCTTCTTCTTCGTCTTCTTCTTCTTCTTCTTCTTCTTCTTCTTCTTCTTCTTCTTCTTCTTCTTCTTCTTCTTCTTCTTCTTCAAAGCACAACAGTTATGCTTAATATTTTTAAGATGATATCAATACTTCTTGCCCCATTATTAACACAGAAACAAGCAAATAAAACTTGCCCCAGTATTAACACAGAAACAAGCAAATACAACTTACCCCAGTATTAACACAGAAACAAGCAAATACAACTTGCCCCAGTATTAACACAGAAACAAGCAAATACAACTTACCCCAGTATTAACACAGAAACAAGCAAATACAACTTGCCCCAGTATTAACACAGAAACAAGCAAATACAACTTACCCTAGTATTAACACAGAAACAAGCAAATACAACTTACCCCAGTATTAACACAGAAACAAGCAAATACAACTTGCCCCAGTATTAACACAGAAACAAGCAAATACAACTTACCCTAGTATTAACACAGCAACAAGTAAATAGAACTTGCCACAGTATTAACACAGAAAAAAGCAAGCACAACTTGCTCCAGTATTAACACAGAAACAAGCAAATACAACTTGCCCCAGTATTAACACAGAACATAGCAAATACAACTGGCCCCAGTATTAACACAGAACCAAGCAAATACAACTGGCCCAGTATTAACACAGACACAAGCAAATACAACTTGTCCCAGTATTAACACAGACACAAGCAAGTACAACTTGCCACAGTATTAACACAGAACCAAGCAAATACAGCTGGCCCTAGTATTAACACAAAACAAAGCAAATACAACTGGCCCTAGTATTTACACAGAACCAAGCAAATACAACTGGCCTCAGTATTAACACAGAACCAAGCAAATACAACTGGCCCTAGTATTAACACAGAACCAAGCAAATACAACTGGCCCAAGTCTTAACACAGAACGAAGCAAATACAACTGGCCCAGTATTAACATAGAACCAAGCAAATACAACTGGCCCCAGTATTAACACAGAACCAAGCAAATACAACTGGCCCCAGTATTAACACAGAACCAAGCAAATACAACTTGCCCAGTATTAACACAGACACAAGCAAATACAACTTGCCCAGTATTAACACAGAACCAAGCAAATACAACTGGCCCAGTATTAACACAGAACCAAGCAAATACAACTGGCCCAGTATTAAAACAGAAAGAAGCAAATACAACTGACCCCAGTATTAACACAGACACAAGCAAATACAACTTGCCCCAGTATTAACACAGAACCAAGCAAATACTGCTGGCCCTAGTATTATCACAGAACCAAGCAAATACAACTGGCCCTAGTATTAACACAGAACCAAGCAAATACAACTTTCCCCAGTATTAACACAGGACCAAGCAAATACAGCTGGCCCTAGTATTAACACAGAACCAAGCAAACACAACTGGCCCAGTATTAACACAGAACCAAGCAAATACAGCTGGCCCCAGTATTAACACAGAAACAAGCAAATACAACTTGCCCCAGTATTAACACAGAACCTAGCAAATACAACTGGCCCCAGTATTAACACAGAACCAAGCAAATACAACTGGCTCAGTATTATCACAGAAACACGCAAATACAACTTGCCCCAGTATTAACACAGACACAAGCAAATACAACTTGCCCCAGTATTAACACAGAACCAAGCAAATACAGCTGGCCCTAGTATTAACACAGAGCCAAGCAAATACAACTGGCCCTAGTATTAACACAGAACCAAGCAAATACAACTGCCCCTAGTATTAACACAGAACCAAGCAAATACAACTGGCCCCATTATTAACACAGAACCAAGCAAATACAACTTGCCCAGTATTAACACAGAACCAAGCAAATACAACTGCCCCAGTATTAACACAGAACCAAGCAAATACAACTTGCTCCAGTATTAACACAGAAACAAGCAAATACAACTTGCCCAGTATTAACACAGACACAAGCAAATACAACTTGCCCAGTATTAACACAGAACCAAGCAAATACAACTGGCCCAGTATTAACACAGAACCAAGCAAATACAACTTGCCCAGTATTAACACAGAAACAAGCAAATACAACTTGCCCCAGTATTAACACAGAAACAAGCAAATACAACTTGCCCCAGTATTAACACAGAACCAAGCAAATACAACTTGCCCCAGTATTAACACAGAACCAAGCAAATACAGCTGGCCCCAGTATTAACACAGAAACAAGCAAATACAACTTGCCCCAGTATTAACACAGAACCAAGCAAATACAACTGGCCACAGTATTAATACAGAAACAAGCAAATACAACTGGCCCCAGTATTAACAGTGGACCAAGCAAATACAACTGGCCCTAGTATTAACACAGAACCTAGCAAATACAACTGGCCCCAGTATTAACACAGAAACAAGCAAATACAACTGGCCTCAGTATTAACACAGAACCAAGCAAATACAACTGGCCCCAGTATTAACACAGAACGAAGCAAATACAACTGGCCCCAGTATTAACACAGAACCAAGCAAATACAACTGGCCCCAGTATTAACACAGAACAAAGCAAATACAACTTGCCCCCAGTATTAACCCAGAACCAGGCAAAGACAGCTTTCTCCAGTATTAACACAGAACAAAGCAAAAACAACTGGCACCAGTATTAACACAGGACCAAGCAAAAATACAACTTGCCCCAGTATTAACACAGAACCAGGCAAATACAACTTGCCCCAGTATTAACACAGAACCTAGCAAAAATAAAACTGGCCCCAGTATTAATACTGGACCAATAAAAATACAACTGGCCCCCGTTATTAACACGGAAACAAGCAAATACAACTGGCTATAGTATTAACAAAGAACCAAGCAAATACAACTGGCCCCAGTATTAACACAGACCCAGTATGTAACACTGAGCCCAACATTAATATCTGACGAAGTAAGTAGCACCCGCCATATCAGTAATGTGTGTGTGTGTGTGTGTGTGTGTGTGTGTGATTTAGATTTTTAACATAGCTTTAACAATTTATCAGTCATATAGCTACGATGCTATAAGTGTGGCAGTTTCTAGTATAATTTATCACTGCGGCATCATGCCACAGTCATGTAGCATGATGTCCCATCCAGTCACATTATCCTGACAACAGGCCAACCAGTCGAAACACCGACTCTTAATGCTGAGCGTCAAGCGAAGCAGCTGTTAATACCATTTTTGTAATACTTAACGCTAAGCTAGTCAGCTTTTAGTACCATTTTGGTAAGTCTTTGGAATGACTCGGCCTGGGTTCAAACTTGCGACCACCCGCATCCGAGGTGGATGCTCTAACCACTAGGCCACCGGAGCGGTTCGCCCCATTATTAATACCTCACGACACAAATACAACTGACCCCAGTATTAGCATCTCACCAGGCAAATAACACTGGCTCCCGTATTAATACCTCACCAAGTAAATCATACTGACCCGATCATTAATACCTCACCAAGCAAACACAACTAGACCCCGTTTTAATACCTCACCAAGTAAGTAACACTGGCCACATTATCAATACCTCACCAAGTAACACTGGCCACATTATCAATACCTCACCAGGTAAGTAACACTGGCCACATTATCAACACCTCACCAGGTAAGTAACACTGGCTACATTATCAATACTTCACTAGGTAAATGCAACTGGCCACCGTCTTAATACATCACCAAGTATATGACAATGACCCCAGCTTTCACACTTTGTAAAATATGATAAAAAACGCGATTCTTTACAATTATTATATGGCGAAGATAAAACAAAATAAAGAAAGAAATACAAGAAAGTTTCAGTCTATTTTAGCTCATTAATCCATCGAGTCACGTTTATGAATCAGGAGGTAGTACCTTACCTTCTAGAACTGCAATTTCAAGATCATTTAAGATAAGCTTAAGTGGGTGGCATTACAGGAAATTTGGTAGATATAGTTATACAATGATATAAGACAATCTGGACTTCTACGTGCATTACAAAGTACTGAGGGACACAAATACCTTTTGAGACCCGATTTGTTTTTCATATAAACATTCTCTCGTCGGAATCGATTTTGTATCTGGATTTTCATCCTTTTGGCCTCCGATCTAAGGTAGACCGGTCTCACTACACAAAGAGGTTTGTAAAAAGTAGGATAAGTTGGTGGGGATTATAAGTTAAAAGTGGCCAAGACCACGTAAGCAATGGGTCCCCCCCAAAAAAAAGAAAAAGCAAAGAATTAATCTTTACACTTCTGCAGATGCGAGAACGAAATAGCCATGAGAAGCGATTTTTCTAGCACAACTAGAAATCCGTCTAAATGTAAATCTCTTGGAAACATATTTATTTCGATGTAGTCAGAAGTAGCCCGCAAAATGTGTTTCCTACTCGCATTTCAGACGAAAATGACATTAATCTCCATGGGTAAATGAGTTAATATGCCAGCCATATAGTTTAATCAGCAGATATTCCCAATGTTGATTTTACTTTCTTCCCTATTTAACTCACCACACGGATCATCAACATACACATAACCACACGGATCATCAACATACACACTTACCACACGGATCATCAACATACACACTTACCACACGGATCATCAACATACACACTTACGACACAGATCATTAGATTACAATTATCACACTGATCAACTAATACACTTACCAAACAGATCATCCACATATACACTTACCACAGATCATCAACATATACACTTACCACAGATCATCCACATATACACTTACCACAGATCATCAACATACACACTTGCGACACAGATCATTAGATTATCACACTGATCAACTAATACACTTACCACACAGATCATCCACATATACACTTACCACAGATCATCCACATATACACTTACCACAGATCATCAACATACACACTTACGACACAGATCATTAGATTATCACACTGATCAACTAATACACTTACCACACAGATCATCCACATATACACTTACCACAGATCATCAACATATACACTTACCACACAGATCATTAACATATACACTTACCGCATGAATCTTAAACATATGCACTTACCATAGAGATCATTATCATATACACATACCACATGAATCATAAACATATGCACTTACCACACAGATCATTAACACATAAAGGTACCACATAGAGCGTAAACATATGCACTTACCACACAGATTATTAACATATACACTTACCATAGATCATCAGCATATACACTTACCACACAGATCATTAACATATACACTTACCGCATGAATCTTAAACATATGCACTTACCGCATAGATCATTAACATATACACTTACCACATGGAGCGTAAACATATGCACTTACCACACAGATTATTAACATATACACTTACCATAGATCATCGGCATATACACTTACCACACAGATCATTAACATATAAACTTACCACATGGATCGTAAACATATGCACTTACCACACAGATCATTAACATATAAACTTACCACATGGATCGTAAACATATGCACTTACCACACAGATTATTAACATATACACTTACCATTGATCATCAACATATACACTTACCACACAGATAATTAACATATACTTACCACACAGATTATTAACATATACACTTACCACACGAATCATAAATATATGCACTTACCACACAGATCATTAACATATATACTTACCACATGGATCGTAAACATATGCACTTACCACATAGATCATTAACATATACAATTAAAACACAGATCATCAAAATGTAAACTTAAGATACAGAACATCAAAACGTACACTTATCACACAGATCATAAAATGTACACTTATCACACAGATCATAAAATGTACACTTATCACACAGATCATAAAATATACAGTGCAATTGTTGTAATGCTGGCACTTTTTGCGCATTACATTTGAACTTGCGTTAAGGTATAAATAACGTTGTGCACATTTCCTAAACCGCTCAAGATAAAGATTTAAATCTTTCGAATAGGATTGGCGAAGATTTGTAAATGTGTCCAGTCATCTTAAAACTTTTATCCATCATGGTATGGTTAGGGTTAATCCGAAGCAAGAGTAACGGCAAACACAGCTGTCCCAAGCGTTAGTCAATTCCTATTGTTATATTCATCGCTCGAAAATCTGACTGCGTTACTCTTGCCTTGGCGTGATGCTGCCTTCCACGTATGCGTCAGCAATTTAAAACTTTCAATAACCGATGGATACACAAGTGCTCTGTCAGGGGTTATTACTAGGAAAAAGCGAGTGTTCTGAAGGTGTCAGTGCCATGGGTAAATACCTATATATCTACTTAATAGCTGCATATCTGCAAAGTACCTATTTACCTAATACCTATCTATCCAGGTAGATCAAAGTACATAATACTTATCTACGCAATATTTATCTGTCTACTTAATATATATGTCCTTAATTAATGTTTATTTACCTAATTCTCACCTATCTACTTCATGCTTTTCTAATACCTATCTAGCTACCTAATGCCTGCTTAAGTACTTAACACCTATCTGTCTGATTATTGCTTATCTAGATACTTCGTACATATCTATCTACTTACAGTCATGTACTATAGTACCTATACCTATATATCTGCATAGTGCTTATCTCCTGTCGTGTTTACTAAAACAAAGCTATAAAGTCATGTATAAGCTATTATCTACCTGTCTTAGGAACATTAACTCGGCCAGGTGTCTCATGTCAAATGATTTCTGCGGGCTAATGTTAATCTCTTATACAAGGTTACATGACCAGCCGTCCACCTGATTCTTGAATCTGCACAGGCGATAGATCTTACCATCTAAACAAACGTTTGTAGTTATCACACCTATAAATTAAAGCTTATTCCACAGATCAAAAGGACGCTGAGCGGGGCGTGTTCTCATCCTTACCCACGTTGACGAAGAGAGAGAGAGAGAGAGAGAGAGAGAGAGAGAGAGAGAGAGAGAGAGAGAGAGAGAGAGAGAGAGAGAGAGAGAGAGAGAGAGATTGTCCGTTAAGTTTGTTTGGATTCATTCACAGCGACATCCAATCGGATTTGAGACTGAGGGCGTGATTACAATTCGAAATGAATGATAACTTGCAACTTGTGAAAGAAACGTTAGTATTTGCCCGTAAGGATTGCAGATAAATAAGGTTTACTCGGAGAACGAAGCCGCTCGTAATTTGGCGGCAACTATTAGAGGTAGATTCTAAGGAAAGACAAAGCTTCTAAAAGTCAGTAAGTTATTTGCTCGATTTCTGCAGAATATTACGGCATCATAATTGTAATTATTTGTAGTATGTATACTTAATCTAGGATCGTCAGTACGCAGAATTACCTTTGTAGATTTTCATTTACATGTGTATTTGATACATGGGCTTGAGCCCATGTATATATTTATTAGATGCGAGTCGTTATTATGTAGACTGTTAGCTTGTGGTCAGAATAATTTTGTAATTCGCTGTTAGATTACTTCGTCGCTAAATAGTGTATTTATTAATGCGTTATGTTAGAATTTATAAATTCTTGAATTGTGAATTTGGAATGGTTGAGGTATGTAAGTTAGTTACTGTGGACATATGAATATATCAGAGCATGGCTATAGGAATATTTGCGTACTTTATATGAGCTGCAAGGTAAGAAAATGCGTCTAATTATTGTAATATATGTAGTATAACGGGATTGAGAATACGTATTGATGTGACCGAGTTTATTGAGGTATGTATGAGAAGTAACTGATATGTACTTTATAAGGACATTTGTTAACTATGCAGGAACGGTTGAGTATCTCGATGTGAACAAATGCGTGACCGAAGAAATTTAATAGTCGTTAACTGATGATATGCTGTGTCTATTGAGAGAGAGAGAGAGAGAGAGAGAGAGAGAGAGAGAGAGAGAGAGAGAGAGAGAGAGAGAGAGAGAGAGAGAGAGAGAGAGAGAGAGAATGCACCAGATGGGTAACAGGTGGACATCAGCCTCACGCTGCTAATCAAGTAATGCAATAGGCTTATTCAAGGATCGAGCGCAAGGAGTCTAACTGGAAACTTGAGTGGTTTGATTATTGAATTGTTATTAAATTGTTATTAATTGAATTTCAACATTTTTGTAAATTTGACCATCTAACAGTCGGCAGTGATGTAAGAGTTTTACATTTATCTTTCACTAAATTTAACTTCCAACAAAATAACAAAATAGATCCTATGTGAAATTTTTATAATAGCTAAATACAATATTAGGAACACCCTACACCAACCATAAAAATCATTCACATTTCCTAATACCTATCTATATGCTCAGTGCTTATCTGTCTACCCAATTGATACCTATCTGCCGTTAAATTTTAATGCTTACCAGTTTTCAAGCATT